AGCTTCATTTAAATGATATAAAAACATTTTTATTCCGCCAATCTTCAATTATAAACTGATTGACTTCAAATATAAATCAAAGTACGACTTTTGCCATTTTGATTACACTTTTCGGCCAGTCAGGCATTACTAAATGCGTCCATCTGTCATATCGCGAAATAGTGTTTATGTCGTCTCTACTTCATTCTATCTCGATGATCATTACGGTACTGAATAGGGGCCCAGCTAGCCTTTCGGCGATGTTGTTTTAAGACAACGTAATAACATTACTATACAACGTAAATGCAACGTCTAAGAGGGGTTGTTGAGGGAAACGTTTCTTACCTATTTAACACACTGTAATTTGCTCTAAAATGTAATCACAAGAAGTTCTATAAACATCCATTATGAATTCGGACCAGAGCTATTTGTTTATACCATATTAACATAACCTACAACATTATCACGTCTTCTTTTTATAAAAAATTGAATAGATTTGGTAAGTTTTCTTAATAAAATAGAAACATATTTTATAAAATCATTATGTGTTGTTTCAGATTGCAGTGCCTGTTGTAAAATAATTATTTCATTTATTTGCCACTGTGCTTGTCCATCCAGAAATGTAAGGGGTGACAATTATATTATTAATTTCTAGCTCACTCTAAATTTATATGATTCGGATAGTGGCGTTGTTAATAAAAGTGTATCGTCCTGTGATGTGGACTTTTACAATGGGGGTAATAATCTCTTACAAATGTTAACTAAAGTTCGTTATGACGTTAATAATAATACATATTTATCTCTTATGTTCCCTTTTCTACTCCTATAAGATGCAGAATAAATCGTAAATTTATATTTAATATTTAGCTATAGTTTAATTTATGTTAGTGATCAAGTTGAGATGAGAGCCACTACTTCCAGTGAGGGTAAAATAAAGAGATAGTCCTCTTAATTGTGGGCTGAGAGGTATTTTGTCATATTACGAATCCATCTGGTGATATGTCAGAACTTGGTTACGGCTGGTGATAGCTCCTAGAGGTACCAACGCCTCAGAATGGTGCTGTGGATGAATCGCTTGTTGGTATTCCTCAGATAGAAAACTGAATGACTATTGATGGAATATAACGATGCAGACGTTCAATTAGTTTAACGAATGACTAACTAAATGTTTACATAAATAAATAAGAAAATAAAGGCATAAAAAAACATTATTATTGGTATTTTATTTTCAGTGGAGCATGGACAGGTTGAACTTACCACAGGAGCCTTTCTTTTACAAGTAATAAAATCCACAATATGTGCTCCAACTTAAAAATGAAAAGTTACTTGTAAGAATAAACGAGATGATGTATAAAATAATGGCTAAATAAATCTGAAATTTGAAAATTATAAACCCAGGTGGTTCAGAAAGAAGCCATTTATTCAAAAAGTTAGGTATGAGAATATAAAAATGAATCATAAAAGGTTCACCTCCAAATAAGGAACTCCAATTATTGAAGTATCTGCAGATGGTAGAAGCGAATGAAAGTCTGTGAATAAATGTATGTTCCTAAATATTTATTGATAGTTTTATAATTGTTTATTTTTTTTTAGATAAATGCAAATGGACAGAAAACTATTATTAATTATTGAGATTAAAATCGATTGACTCTTATTTTTACCAAGCTTACGTGTTTTTGTTTTTGGTTTGTTTAGTTCAATGATTTTTTTATTAAATAGTTCTGTGTTATTTGCCATTTATGTTCCAGCCATCAGGTTATGGGCCCAGTACAGAGGAGGAAACAAATTTGAAAAGCTGTGTGTCGCTTTTGTGAGTAGTTTTCGTTTAGAGATATATTGCGTGGAAATTTCAGCTTAAGTGTGCTCTTAAAGGTAAAACAATTTGGGTAGTAGCTAATAGAATCATAAAGTTACCATAACTTCAAGCAGCACAAGACGAGTGGTACAACAAAGATGCCAATGTTCCTTCTGACAGCGGCAATAGATCTAGACCAAATTACGCTGGTAGAGAACAGTAAAAGGAGCAAAGATATTTTAAATAAACTAGATTCAATCTATGTGCAAAAGAGTGAAACAAATAAAATGATTGTTCATGAAAGATTCCATCAATACAAAATGTGTAATACTGACTCAATAGCCCAATATATAGCGAAAGTGGAAAATCTAGCTAAGCATATTAAAGAGTCCGGTGAATCAATTAGTGATGCTGTTGTAATGATGAAAATAATAAGTACTTTATTATTAAGATACATAAATTTTCGACAAACATGGCTCTCTTTAGATGAAAACAAGCATTCGATCCCTAATTTCACTGCTCGACTGTTAGACGAAGAGAAAATTAGCAGAATGATACTGTACTTACACAGAAATCGTTGAAACTGCATTTAATATAGAAGTGAATTTTGCAAATATCTGGGATGACTACTGGATAATGGACAGTGGTCTTGCCGATATGGATGACGTTTTACTACCATCTCCAGATTTACAGAGCGGTTTACAGTTTTTAGAGGCATTTGAATCTGTTAGCCTGACACCTAGATTATCCAAATGTTATTTCTTTAAAACTACCATACAGTACCTTGGTCATGAAATCAGTGTCGAAGGAGTCCGACCATGTACTGAAGAGATTAATGCATAAGGTCAGGCAATTCTTAGGACTAGCTAGCTATTTTAGAAAATTTATAAAAGACTGCTCGAATAGCTAGACCATTATCAAGTCTTAATTAAAAGGATATCAGTCTTAAATTTGAAGAACAACAAATTTTGTCCTTCAGCAAGCTACGTGAGATTTTAAGTACCAGGCCTGTCTTAACTATATACAATTCAGACGCAGAAAGAGAACTACATACAGATGCATCGAAATAAGGAATTGGTGGTATTCTGATAAACTCGAACCTGTTTTTAACAGGAAAACAAGTAAAGAGGACCAGAGACATTATTCTTATGAACTGGAAACTATGGAAACATAGTTAACTCAATGCAAAGATTTAGAGTCTATTTACTCGGGATTCGATTTAAAATGGTGACTGATTGTAATGCGTTGAGAATGATGATGTCCAAAAGAGATCTCATTCCAAGAATTGGTCGCTGGTGGTTCATAACACAATAATTCGATTTTGACATCGAATATCGACCAAGGTCACGATTGGCTCGTGTAGACGCACTGAGTCAAAATCTCGTAGATATAGACATATTGATGATTATCATCAGTAAAGGCGATTGGATATTGGCTTTTCAATTAAATGATAAGCGTTGTTAGTATTTACTTTAAGTTCTATCAAGAAAACCAAATGACGAGATGGAAAAGGAGATACACAAGGAGTACAAACTAAAAGATGGCAGATTATATAAAGTTACATTGTGTGGTATTAAATGGGTTGCTTCGAAGTCTGTGCGGTATGCGGTTACAGTTTACTGTCATGACAGCCGAACACTTTTCTTTGGAGAAAACCCTAACTCTCATAAACCAATATTTCTGGTTCTCCAAAATGAATAAATACGTATCTCGACATATACGTTGAAAGAAACCTGTTACTTTTCATAGCATAGAAGAGATCGCTATATCTATGGATATTATACATGTAGATCATTTTGGACCTTTTGTTAGAAGCAAGATAATTGGAACAATCTCTTGGGGCTGAGACAGGCCAAGATACTTCTGGGTAAATATAACCAGAAAAGATCGGAAGCCTGCATCTGCCTGAGCAAGAACAGGCTACGTATTGTAACAGAGATCCTTACCGCGCATTGCCGACTGAAAGGACACCTAAGTAAACTGAGAGTAGTAGAGGATAGTGAGTGCATATTCTGTGAGGAGGAAGACGAAACCTCCATTTACATCCTAACTGAATGTGTAGCACTCCAGCACTATAGGAGGATATCAAACAGAAGAGGGAGATTTACCTAACTTGAAGCCACTTCAAATCCTACACTTCCTTGAGAAAATAGGATTGGAAG